CGCGACCTTTAATCGTAGCATTGAAAATTAAGTTTTGATTTGAATCAAGTAACATTGAAATTCAATGTGATATGATGTATAAACACAATTTTGCTCACCTGTAAACTTGCCACTCTTCTCAGGAGGCCTTGACCTCTTTCATCTATTGACGGCAAACTCAACGCTCTTCCATTTCTCGTCGTGCCCGTGTCACGAGTGTGCCACATCTGCGACAAATGGGAATTCTGCTTCATTATGCATATTATAGAACTAAATCGCACACATTTGCAATAGTTCATCCATAAAAAAAGAGTTTGCAGGGAAAGCGGGATATAGAAGGGAGAAAAACGCTAGTCAATTTCCTGATTTCCAGGGTGGAGGCCGGTCTAGACTGCAACACGAAGACTATTTGAATAAAAATAGATGTTAAAATATTTAAAAAAGATTTAAAACATTGTTGTATATTGAAGAATTAGATGAAAACTCTCTAAACGTGTTACACTGCAAGTACATGCTTGGAAAATGCATCAATGAAATTGGTGTATAAATGAGGGCAGAGTCTTGGCAGGGAAACCCAAACAGGACTTCCATTGTTGTCAGGCACTTGAGAAATGTTTTGTCCAACAACGACTGCAAACATGGCTGTTTGAAATAATATAGAAGCGCAGATCGAGCATGGAGCTACAAAAGTTGCTAGGTGGATCCTTGAGAAAAACTTATCTCGTGCGCAGATAACCTATAAGCAAATATTGGTATGATGAGTGAAATTCACAATAAAAGCAAGTATACAAAATTAGACTCTACTGTTCTCGTAACAAACCGGTCATGGCTAAGAGCAAAACCGGTAGTGTGACTTCTCGGCTAGAAAACTATGGATTTCAATGGGGATATCCAGCAGTTCCAAGCTCCTTGTGATACAAAATCGAGAATAACTTGTGACAGTCACACAGAAGAGCGTATTGGGTATAGAGATAGGAGCCGCAAAGAAGATTCAGGCAAGCTTAGCAAAAAAACAGGAATTCATAGTA